CTTGGGTCTGACACCAAAAATAAATAAAACAAAGAAAATAGATAAATTGGACTTCTTCAAAATTAAAAACTTAAGGCATCAAAGAACACTATCAAGAAAGTGAAAAGAAAACCAACAGACTGGGAGAAAAAAATACAAGTCATCTATGTGATAAGGGTCAATTATCCAGAATATATAAAGGACTCTTAGAACCCAACAAAATGACCACAAATTTTTAAAATGGACAAAACTTGCGGAGACTTTTCTCCAAAGATGATACAGAAATAGCAGCACATGAAAGGATGCTCAACATCACTAGCCATTAGGGAAACACAAGTCAAAACCAAATGAGATAACACTTAACACCCATTTGAATGGCTAAAACAACAAAACCCCCAGAAACTGGTGAAGAAGTGGAGAAATATGACCTTTGTTGATGGGAATATAAAATGGTGTGACTGCTGTGATTCTGCTGTGATGTGGTTCTGCAAAAAGCTGACCACAGACTTACAGAATCCAGCAATTCCATTTCTAGATATAATATACGAAAGAAATGAAAACATATTCAAACAAAAACTTATACATGAGCCCTTGTAGTAGCACTATTCACAATAGTAAAAAGGTAGAAATGACTCAAATGTCCATCAATGTGGACAAATGATATGGACAAGTATAATGTGGTATATCAAAACAATGAAATAATATGCATCCATAGAAAGGATTGAGGTACAGACACTTGCTACAATGTAGAGGAACCTCAAAACTCTCAGCAGAGAGCTAGGCATGATGATGCACACCTATAGTCCCTGCTACTCCAGAAGCTGAGGTAGGAGGGCTGCTTGAGCCCAGGAGTTTGAGTCCAGCCTTGGCAACATAGTGAGGCCCCATCTCTTAGTAGATAGATGATAGACAGAAAGATAGACATTAATAGATTAGTGGTTGCCAGGGTCAGGGGACAGATTGGGTAGTAATTGCTTAATGGATAGGGGATGTTCTTTGGGGGCAATTAAATGTTTTGGAATTAAGAGGTTGTGGTCAAGAATGGAAGAAAAAGTATCCAATGTACACACCTCTATTATGAAACTAATTTATACCTTTTATATGTAAGTGATAACCTAATAACAGCCTAATAATACGGGAAGGGGGGAGGGAGAGGGGAGGGGGGAATGAGTGGAGGGAGGGGGATTGGAGGGATCACTTCTGAGGTTTATCTTACAAGGGTACAAGTGAATCTTTCTAAGAGCAGAATGTGAATGTTTTAAAATAATAACTAAGAAAATGAAAATAAATAAATAAATAAAATTAAATTTAAAAAAAGAGGTTGTGGTTGTACAATAGTGTGCTTGTACTAAATGTCACTGAAGTATACATCTAAAGACAGTTAATTTTGTATTATGTGAATTCTACCTCAATAAAAATGAAAGTCCTATCCTTAGTGTTCCTCACCAGGGTGAGCCCTCTCTCCATGGTGCTCCCTTAGTCTGCTGTTTGTGAGTCAAATAAACATCTGTCCAGGCCACACTGGAGATGTATCCCAGCTGGGTGGATCACTTGTCTGATCATGCAGTGGCCCGAGTCCCACATGAAGCCTCATGATCCATGCAAACACACTGATAATATGCCAACCCAGGTTACCCTAGAAGTCGGCTCCAGAAGTGCTTGGTTAGAGCTGAGGATGCTGAACATTGCTTCCCTTCACAACATTCCTACTTTCTGCTAAAGATACATTCTGGGGCCTGCCTTACCCCTGCCGACCAGGATCTGGCTCCACTGAGGCTCCCCGAAAGGCACACAGGAATAGAAGGATGCTTATCTGAGCCAGAAGGGGCTTTTGTTTGGGGGGTCCTGGGGCTGCAAATAATTCATTCTGCCCAGGCCACAGGGAGCATGGGAGGCCCCAGGAGAGGAGCTTTTATGGCTTAGTGCCCAGAGATAGACCAGCCTTCACATTATCCTATCTTCAAACTTCAGCATCCCCAACCCTGGAACAATCTCACTGGATGGGGGATACCAGCACCAGCCCCTAGCCCAGCAGTCAGACCCACCTGGGCACTTAGAAAGGGGATGGGGCACCCTGGGATAGTCCAGTAGTCAGGTCCTGCTGTGATTGTTCTGGGCTCTCAGAAGGGAATGGGGCAACCTGGGAGGGGCCAAAGCACCTGGGGCTAGCAGGGATGTGGAGATGACTAGCAAAGGCAGAGACACTGTTACAGGTTGAATTGTGTCCCCAAAATTCATATGTTGAACTCTTAACTGCACTACCTTACATGAATGTGACCTTACATGGAAATGGAAATAGGATATTTGTAGATGATCAAGTTAAAATGAAATCATTAGGGTCAGGCTTAATCCACTATACATAGTAATCCTGCCCTTATAAAAAGAATTCGGACACAGAAACAAAGGGAAGAAGGCTTGCACATTGGAGCTTTGCTATCACAACCAAACTACCAGAACTGGAGAAAGACTGGAATAGAACCTAGAGCCTTCAGACAGAGCACAACTCAGACTTCTGGACTTCAGACCTTCAAGATGACAAATCTGTGTTGTCCTGACCCTCACAGTGTGTGGCACATTGTTATGGCTGCATTGTTACATGCAGACCCTTTGTGCTCTGTCCTTTCTCTCCAAACTGCAGCCATCTCCTCAAGCACACCCATGACAGCATGAAGGACAGAAGCAGGGTCCTGGACCACTGCTCGGTAGTCACTTCCTGTTCTGTCTGGGAGTCTACAATCAGCTTCCTGGACCAGTGGGAAGATGAGGACAGGAGGGGCAGCATCCTTGGAGCTTATGCCGGGCCTCTGTGTTCCAGGAGCCCAGAGAGCCCAGGGCTGGCCAATCCGTACCCCTCAACCTCCCCAGCCTCTCTCCCCAGCCATCAGCACTTTGGAATAGTCATCATGTCCCTTTTAATATCAGTAGGAAAGTTGCCTCAGGAAGGCAACTTCCCAGTGCCCCCTGAGCCCAGGCCGGTAGAACAGGCTGAGTGGCCACAACTCTCAGAGAGGCCAGGGGTAAAACTAGAAAGGGGAAAGGGGCAGCAGGGTGGGCTGTGGGCAGGATGCTGAGGTCAGAGGCCATTTCCCACAGGTGATGAGTGGAGGGAGGTAAGGAGGGGCCCCAGTCTCCACCTAGACAGGCCCTCTGACCACTGTCTGGTACCCCTTATTGGGAGGTCCAGGCTCAGCTAGGAGTCGGCTCCAGAGACTTTAGTCCATTTTGCCCAAACAGACAGGATGTAGCCGGCCAACTCAGGGTTCTAGAACTTTCAGGACTGAGCCTGCTGCCTGCCAAGGACAGGAGAAGTACAATGCCCCTGCAGGTGGTCATGCAGCTATGCCTCTCTCACCAGCTGCCACCTCTCCTCTTTGCCAGGTCTCTGGGTTCTGCTGGTTGCAGGAAAGGCCACACGCTAGGCTGAGATGGCTCAGTTAGCTTCCTTAGACCCTCTGAGTCTGGGGGAACCAGCCTGGTGGAGTTGTGGGGCCCCTAGTCCTTTCATGTCAAGTAGGCCAGCAACCTTCCCCTCCACTCCGTCCACTATGCTGGAAGCACAACTTCAGGGCTTGGAGTCCTCAGGAGGCCTGGAGTCCCAGTGCCTTCCTCTCTTCCTGCTCCTGGACTGTAAATTGCGTGGGCCACAGGTGAGCAGTGCAATGGCCTCCAGACATGGGACCCTGAGGTTTACATTCTTCTCCCTCCCATACCACCCGTTCCAGCCTCCCAGCCATGGCTCTGCATTCTGTTACCCCTGTGATGCTACAGGAAGATCTCTGTGTCTCTGTCTCTCACAGGCCAGCTTCAGTGCTCCTAAAGGCAGGGGTAGGGTCCGTTTTCTGTGGTCAAGGGCTGCTGATCCCAGCCAAGCCCACATCCAGCCCAGCTCTGAGATGGGCATGTGAACAAATGAGCATGCTAGAATCTAGTCCACCCCAAAAGACACCATAACTGACTGAGAAGTTCAGCTTCTAGGAATTTATGCTGAGAAAATAGGTAAAGGGAAGAAAATAGGGATGCCCACCTTATGTCAGCTTTATACAAATGAAAAAACAGACACATTAGAAACAATCCAGCACAGACTTGCCACCTGTGGCTCAAGCGGCTAAGGCACCAGCCACATACACCTGAGCTGGCAGGTTTGAATCCAGCCCAGGCCCGCCAAACAACAATGACGGCTACAACCAAAAAATAGCTGAGCGTTGTGGTGAGCGCCTGTAGTCCCAGCTACTTGGGAGGCGGAGGCAAGAGAATCGCTTGAGCCCAGGAGATGGAGGTTGCTGTGAGCTGAGATGCTACACTCTACCCAGGGCGACAGCTTGAGGCTCTGTCTCAAAAAAAAAAAAAAAAAAGAAAAGAAAAAGATAAAAAGAAAAAAACAATCCAATCCAACAATAGAGTACTAATGCCATCAGGAAATTCTAACCTGAGATTATGTTAATCTCTATACTTTGATGTGGACAGATAGTTAAATGAATACAAGGGGGGAGTTCAAACATTAAACTTTAATTGAATACAACAATTGTTTCACAAACACAGTGAATTATAAACCTCAGTGAAAATCCACCTTGTTCCCCAAGCCTGGGCTGTCCACAATCAGGCCTGCCTCCCAGTCCTCAAGACCCAGAATCAGGGCACTTCCCATACCTCTCCCACAAATGTAACCAGGTGGAGAAGTCCAGCCTTGTGCATGGGCAGGCAGGAAGACAGCTAGCAGTGGAACATTCTGCTCTGTAGAAAAGCCTTCGCTGCACACAGCTTGCTGGATTCTCTTCCATCGTTGCTGGAGTGGACAGACCCACTTCTGGCTTTAGTCTCATGAACATTTCTCAAATGCCTCCTCCATCATAAGAAACTGCTGACAAAACTCTACAAATGTAGCTGGGGGCTGGGAATCTCTCAGTGCTTCTCAGCAGAACCCTTTGGGGGACTGTTGGGGACCTCTGTGGTCTATTCAGAATAAAACTATGTAGAAGGCCAAACAATCCTCCTGGGTCCTGTCCTGGCTCCTGGGGGACAGGTCAGGCCAGGCTGCTCCCTGACAATTCAAGGAGCATCCTGGCTCCCCAGAAGGCATCAGAGGAGGCCTGGCCATCAGGCCACTGCACCTGGAAGACATAGCATTACACACAGAAGCAGCCTCTGCCAGGCTCCTTCCCACCTGGGCTCCTCTGGACCCATAAAGACCACCTGTAAAGACCCTCCCACTCTGGGCTCCGGGGGAACACTGTCCCACAGTACCCCCACCCCAGGTCCCAGTCTGCTAATGCTTAGCCCATGAGTCATCCTTGCCCTGCTCAATTCTGCTCAGTTTATTCACTCAAGGACACTGACTGAGCCCTGCAGTGTATGCGCTGCAGAGGTAGGGGATAAGAGGGAAACACATGGTACTTGTAAGAAGGCCTCACCTGGCTAGAGGGCAGGGGCTGGCTCAGCTCCATGGCAGACACGGGGCCAGAAAAGGTAGATGGGGCTGGAGGCATCTCTGGAGGGCTGGATATATATAATGGAGTTAGGACAGGCTTTGTCTCAGGGGACAGTGGGTGACAAGATCCACCCAGTTGTCTTCCTACCCATCAAGAGCCATTCTCAGCGCTTGGTACAGACTGAATACACTTCGTGCAGGGCCCTCACATACACAGAGTGCTGGGGGGGATTACACATTGAGTGGGGTCACTGGGTGGGTCACAAGAGGTCAACAAGGGTGTCAGGAAGGCTCACAGAGAGGGAACTGGTGAGCAGAAATGTAAAGGAGGAGACTGTAGAACAGTGATTCTCAACCTTCCTAATGCCACGACCCACAGGCTGAGAACTGCTGGTGTAGAAAAAAAGAGGTCTAGAGTGAGAAGGAGCCATGAGGCGATTAGGGCCAAATCAGAGAGCAGAAGGGAGAGTGTAGAATGGGCAGCACAGTCAGTCGCTCAGGGTAGCGGTGGTGATTCCTAAAGAAGGCTGGCACATGCCTATCACGTGACATGCTGGGTATGCATCACAAGAAAGGAGGACAAGTGTGCAGGTTACACATGCATAGGATGTTCACAGCAGCCTTACAGTTGCCCCAAATTGGGAACACCCAAACGCCCACCCATAGGAGAACTGATAAACAAACTGGTACAGCCACACCTTGGGATATGGCTCAGCAGTAAAAGGGAGTGAACTATTGATAACCTCAACAACAGGGTGAACTTCTAAGTAGGAATGAAATGTTGGGTTCCTAGCAACAGGGAAGGAGTTATGCTGAGTGAAAGAAGTAAACCAAGACAAAGCAAAGAAGCCTGGAGTCCCTACTACAGCAGAACCTCTGTAAGTTGGCCACTAAAGGGACTGTAACAAACTGGTCAACAATCAGAAGTGGCCAACCTAAGGAACTAGGCCTCAGTACAGGTGGTGGATGTCCAGTCTACAGAAATTCTGTCAACTTCAGGAGGTGGTCAATGTAGGGAGGTGTCTGTAAAATGTAGCTAATATTTAGTAACAGAAACAGATCTTTGATCCTGGGGTAGGAAGTGACAGGTAAGGGTGGGAGGAGGGTGAGTTCATGACCTTCATTAGTCATGACCTCGTGGTGGATGTGAAAGTCACATGGAGAAAACTAGCAGCTATTCTGTCTGAACTTGTGTAGTTTACTGTATTTCAGTTACACCTCAGTGAAGGTGTCTTTAAAGAAGGAGTCAAGGCCCTTGGAATTAAGTGAAGGAGGCACTGGAGTTGGAGAAGTGAGAGATAGGGTCAAGACAGTCACGTGGAGAGGCCACATAAGCCACAGGGACACTGTGGCTGTGGCAGCACTTGCCTGATCTCAGCTCCAGGCCACTAATGGAAAAAAGAGTCAATATATGTGATGAGGATTTTCTCACAATCTGTCTGTTTCAGAGCATGTGATTTGGGGGCTTTTTATCCATTTTCTTGCACATACCCCCATAATTTTGCCCTCTGTAGGTACCTGCCTTGCATTAACCTGGTCTTAGCTCCCAGATGAGAGACCCTGTACCATGGGGACTTGCTCTGCTCCCAGATAGGATGTGGTGTCCATTGGAACAGGACTGGCAGTGGAGATCTCCTCTCCCCCAGGGGACTCCAGAACACCTACACTCCTCCATTCATCTGTCTCCACAGGCTTCCACCTGCAGTGATGGCCCCAGAGGCACTGCTCAAACTCCCTACATTCTGACAGTTCACAGCAATAATACCATCAACAGCAAATGTGCATCTAAGCTGTTCAAGTCCCTTTAAAACATCAGTTTAGAATATAAAATCAGGATCTTGATGCTGCTCAAAAACTGGAAGCTTTTCTTTGGGGAAAATAAAATGCCAGGAAGAGGCTGCTGGACCCAGGATAATCTTGGGGAAGAAGGGCTTAGTCCTGAACACATCCAGAGAACAGGATGCCTATGTCTGCTCTGATGTTTTGGGGTATCCTTTTGTTTGAGGGAAAACTACCCTATTTTTGTTAGATGTAGACTAGGGAGGACTGTTATGATTTTCAGAAACCCATAAGGAAAAAACTCAACCTGCACAGTTTGAGATGGCACGTCTATAAACTGAGCATTATCCCATCTCACCGCAAGCAGAAAGCGTCATCTGGCCCGTGGACCTTTGGCGCTTACCTATGGGACACGATGAATTTGGGAGCCTGTGGTGGGGGCTGTGTCACCAGGAAGCTGCCCACCTGTGACTCTGCACATGCACTGCTGGTACCTGGACCCTGCTCTGGGTGCACACTCCGGGGAATGCTGCTTGGCGGGTCAGGAAATCCTGCATGTAATGAAATTACACAGCCACTGGTAGGAGAGAGCACAGCCCATGTGTGGCGCAACCAAGACCTCAAAGCAGGGAGGTGGCTGCAGCATCCAGCCCAGCAGCCTGTGCCCTGTGAACTAAACTGCGACCCTGGGCTCAGCCTCCCTATATGAGGAAGAAACCATCACAAAATCCAATCTTCATGGCCTTTCCAGGCTTCCAGGCACCAAAACAAAGTCAAATTCTGCCCACTTCAAATTGTGCTTTGTCATTCTGGACCTCAAGCACCCCCAGCACCAGAAAGTGGGAGTCAGTTTGTAGCAAGCTCCCTCCTACTAATGGGAGGACATGCCACATCCCCTCTGTCTTCTCTTGTGGCTGTTCACAGCAGGATCAGCCACCAGCCCTTGCTGATTTCTGTTTTTATTTCTTACCTTAGGTTTCACCAAGATGTAGCTGTCACTACCCTCCCCTGCCCTTTGACTTTTTCTCTGCTTAGAGTGTTCCATGGAGTATCTCAGCATATCTTTCATGCTTAAAGACAAGCTACTATGGATGTGGTCACTTCTGGATTGATACATATTCAGGAGCAAAGTGACCTGAGAGGGCAAGTCCTTTTCTGCTCCAAGTCTACCTAGCTGTGAGACTTGCATTAAAATGGCCCTGATCTCAGACAGAAAACAATGGGCCTGGGAGGCAAGGCTCACAATGCCCTCCTACCTTACCCAGTGCCCTTCCAGAAAGTAAAAAGTATTATCTGCAAAGGAATACATAACAGAATGACATCTGATTTAATAACACCGAATGCTGCAAAAACAAAAAACAAAAACCAAAAAACCTAAGTCTTCAAATTTCTGAGGGAAAAGTATTTTCAATTCAGAATTCTTTCCCTGTCAAATTGTTAATCAAATGTGAGGGCAGATTAAAGCCATTTTTAGAACATGCAAGGACTCAGAAAATTTATCTTGCAGGCACTCTTTCTTGCAAAGGTAACTGAAGAAAGTTGCTAACAAAACAAAGACTCAAATAAAGAAAGAACAAGACCTGCAATTCAGGAAGTACTGCAGCAAACCTAGGGAGGCAGTGAGGGGAACTCTGAGGATGACAGCTCCACCCCAGGCCTAGAGATGCCACTTGGAGGGATGCTTGAAATGCTGGAAGATGGAAAAGTGTGACAAAAGCAGTGTTAAAAAAAAAAAACAAACGACAATTAGAAACTCCAAGAACATAAAAGCTGAAAAGATATATAGCCATACTAAGAAATTTAGATGAATTTGTAGTGTCAATATCTCCTTAAAGGTGAGAAGTCATAAGATATTGTTGTATCATATGGACAAAATATATATCTAAATAAATATTCTTTAAATGTACTTATAGCTAAAATGATAACCAAGAAAGAAAGTAAAACAGTGATTATTTCCACCATAGGTTAAGGGTGGAAAACATTTGGGCATCTAAGCCCGCTTCTATTGCACCAGGTGTTAACAAGTGTGTTAGATGCTCTGGTGTGGGGATTGCAAGGAGGAGTTTCAATTTAACTCCTTCCTCACTGTCATATTTTTCAGTCATGTGCCTATATGTTTTTCAAAATAAAATAAATGAGAAACAATCCAGGATGTTTGTAGAAAGAGTCTCTGGGTTCTGGCTGAACTGGTTCTAGGTTTAATCAAACACCAGGGATTCAAGCAGAAAGTCCTAGCCCAGTGGTTCTCAACCTTCCTAATGCTGCGACCCTTTAATACAGTTCCTGTGGGTCGTGACCCACAGGTTGAGACCACTGTCTTAGCCCTACCCACACTTCCACACTCTCAAAAAAGACCCAAGTAGTCACAGCATCTAGTATAGAAACTTACAGTCTGTCAAAGTGGACTCACCTGTAGGGCTGGGATTGCCAAGGGCAGCAATGGACACGGTCACAGAAGCATCTGCAGGACACATCATGAAATCCAGCCCATGACTGTGGACCAGCTGTCCAGTCTGGAAAGGAACTTCCTTGGAGGATGCCAATGCAAGGGACATCAGCCACGATTCTGGGGCAGCCAGAGTGGGGTCCAGCATGTTGCTTCTGGCAGCCAGAGGGCAGAGGCCAGGGCCATGGCGGATACAGGGAAGGGTTGCAGAACTGTGGCTGAGCCCCTCCTGGTACACCTCACCACCCTGCAGAGACCTGGGGGACACAGTGAACACCATCCCTTGCTGGGCAGTGGCACTTACAGGGGGACTTCAGTCAAGTTCAAGAACGTGGATGCTTGTCTCAATGGAGCCACTGGAGCCAGGTGGCCCTTTACGTCACTGATCACATGCCTACGTGGTTCTCCCTGTGGCTGTAAGGACTAGGGCTAAGCTCTAACAAGCAGGGCTCATAAAGACTATTACTGGAAACCTAAAATACATTAACCATTTATTTACAATGACCTTCAATGATGTATTATTCTATAGTACCAAAAACTGAAAATGATTAGCAAGAGCCAAATAGCTGAATGAATAAATCACAGTTGATCCTAAAGGAGTATTAGACAGCAGTTGTCATTAATTTAAACAATTAATATTCCATGAATCCTCATTTTCTCTCAATGGTACTCCCAGGCTTTGGTAACCATCCCCCCTTAATCTTCACTACAACCCTCATGGTGGGTCCCATCACCATCCCGTTTTCACAGGTGAGAGGTCATAGATACTTGCCTAGGGTCATACACCTGGGCAGAGCCTGGCCAGGATATGAGCCAGGCACAGGGAGGGTGTCGGGAGAGATGCTGATGTCATAAGGGTACACAGAAAAGAGCAGACATGTGTATGGTGTGACGGTCACACAAGATGTGGGCCAGCCCTGCATGGACCCAGCTCCATGCTGACCAGCTTGCACTTTTCTTATCCTTACATCAGGTTTGTGCCTCATCATAGGAGGAGTATGAAGTGCAGGGAAGATGCTCAAACAGTGCAGGTGTGCAGGAGGGACTCGAGAGATGCTAGATATTACTAACTCAGTGAAATGCAAAATAGACCAATACTATGCATAGCAAACTACCGTGACAGCTTTCTTTAAGTGGTAGGTCTGCATGTTTTTCCTAAGTTTATTCACTCCATTCTCCAAAACAGACACAAATTCAGCGGTTGAGTCAGGCTGCAGGAAGCAAGTGTGGGGTTAGAGCAGTGGTTCTCAACCTGTGGGTCAAAACCCACAGGAACTATATTAAAGGGTCACAGCATTAGGAAGGTTGAGAACCACTGGGTTAGAGGAAGCTGCTCCCTGTTTCCCTTCCAGCTCAGTCCTCAACGTGGGCTCCATGCTGGTAGCTTCCCCTACCCTGGGATGTGACCTGGTCCAGGGTCAGGGCTCTGGCATTCCCATGCCCACTCTACACACTCATCTCCCCCTAAGGAGGGAGGACATGGGAATGATAGTACCTGGGAACCAGTGGCTTAGAGACTGTCTTATCCTCTGTAACGTCCGGGGCCAAGGCCAGCAGCTCCCACGGTCCTTGGGTAGTCTCTGGAGACCGTGAGGGCCGATTTTCCTCATGTCCCTCTGAAAGTAGATCAGATGAGAGGGGAGGCTTAGGGATGCTCCCCATCCCAGCCTCCTTCCCAGCAGGTAAGAGCACCACTGTTGGCTAAAAAAGGGTGTCACCACTGGGTCATCCCAGTATTCTGTTTGTCCTTTGGCCTGTCTTTGGTCTGAACCAACAATCCATAATTACAAACTTGGGGCACTCCAAATCCTTGTGCTTAGTTCACTTCTCAAATGTACTCTCCCACCTCCTCCTCTAGCCACATGCTGCCCTGATCTCCAAGCTAACTCCTGGCCCTGACTACCCAGTAACCTGAAAATACTGAGGGTAGCCACAGCCCCGCCTAGGCCCTCAGCCTAGGCCCCCTTCCCTCAAAGGGAAACCCTGACCTACTGATTGTGGGATAGAAAGGGAAGGATCTCTATAACCAGAGAGACCCTACTCTGGCCTGGTCCTTGTCAGAAATCAATCCCTCAACTAAAAGCAGGATGGGAAAGCCCTCAGGCCACTCACCTGACCACTGAGGCCTGTCCACAAACCCAGAGTCAACACGGGAGTGGCCTGAGGGCTGCAGCATGTCAGGACACTTCTCTCTTACACTGGGGTCTTCCGCCATGGCCTTCTGAGCTGGCTCCATGTGCTTGGGAAGGGCCCTTTGGCGCCGCCGGTAATTGGCAAACCAGTTGTACACCTGCTCAGTGGTCAAGTTCGTCTCCAATGCCAAGTTCTCCTGCTCCCAAACACCAAAACTTCTAAACCTGCTTCCATTCGTTCATCACAGAGGTGCACAGAAGTGGCTCTGATAGCTCATTTCCACCCAGTAAGGGGGCACAAGCCCAACCTAACCATTCCAGCAGCAGCAATGGTGCTTGGGACATTAGATAAAGGAACATCCCCTGAACTCAGGAGGCTGAGTGTGGTCAGTGTGAGCCAGACACAGAGGCCCTGATTCCTTGGGGAAATGAACCCCAACCCCAGGTCAGCATGGGCCCTGACCAGGCCATCTGCACAGCCACCCCTGCAGGGGGCAGGTGGTTCTTACTCTGAGCCCTTGGAGGGGAGGGGCCTATGGACCTGCACCCCATGCCTGGCATAGAACCACTATGTACGGGATAGTGTGTCAGACTGTGGATGCTCAAAACACATCACTTTGGGGCCTGGCACCTGCAAGGTCACACATACATACAATGTCATGAACCCATGTGAGAAAACTAACTCCTCTACTTAGCATGCAGGACAGCCTGGAGGGGGCCCCTATCAGGAGGGGCTCTAGGAGAGGCTGAGACCACAAGCACCCTGGGATCTTGGCTCTCCATTCTTACCCTCTCAGCTTTGCTGGGGTTGGTGCTAACCCCTAAAGCGAAGTCGTACAGCTTCTGGCGAACATCTCTGGGGAAGTTCCGGCTCTTCAGCCCCTCTGGGCAGAGTGAAGGAGGTGGAGGGTTCCTGGATGAGGACAGTGAAGAAGCAGTAACAGAACGGGACCCCTTCCAAACCTGTTCCCTGCTCAGGACCCTCTGGTGTCCCTCTGTCCCCTGGGCCTCTCCATGTAGAAATGCACACCCCAGACACATACTGTTCATATGACTGCATAAGGTTCCTTGCACATGTGCAGGCTGCAGTGAGGAGCCCCCTATGGGCCCTGGATGCCATTCTGGATATGTTCCTACACAGGCCTCCTAAGGACTTGGCTCCTCACCCTGGGCCTACTTTTTCATGCAGTGTCTTCCTGTCAATCACTGGTGTTCTGGCCATCATCCCCACTCTCGTGGGAGTCCTGTGCAGAACACATCACTTTGCCCTCCTGCTACATATCCCTGCTGCCTGCATGGCCACATCAACCTTCCCATCTCTCCTCTCACTTCCAACACTTCCTCCCAGGACTCACAATCCTTGGATGACCTGGCTCTTACTTTACTGAGATGTTACCAGAAGAGCAGTACCACCTCTCCCCCAACCAAACCTGCCAGCCCCCTGGACTTCCCAAGTGGGACCACTTGGCAAGGGAGGCTCCCAGCCTTGCCTGGAACACTTGTTCCTATACCCTGCCTCACTAAGAACTTTCCTCTTAAACTTATTCTCTGTTTGCCACCAACAGTATGAGTAGTCACTCCCATGAACTTGGTAGTTGTTCTGTAAATCACTTACCTTCGGCACAGACCTTTCTTAACTCCCCTATTCCCCTCCAGCTGCTACCTCAGAGAAAACTTCTCAAAGGATGATCGCAACCATTACTACCAACCCCTCATCTCTATCTTCATCACACACCTGGATCCCACCCCACTCCTGAAGGATGGCTGCCTAGCTCACCTCTTGCCAAGCCCAAAGGTTCTTTCTCAGCACTGCTCTCATGAAACAACCCTCAACCCCCTGGCTTCTCAATGATGTGCAGGCCTGGACACCCTCCACTCTTCCTTGCCCTGCTCTGAGCTGCAAAGTCCTAGGGGTACAGGCTCTAAACAAAGATACCCCTCCTCTCCCTACGCCCCTGCCCCATGGTTTCAGGACCACCCACTGAGATAACAAAAGGGACAGCTGAAGCAGGACAATTGGTGTTCAGGCTGGTTTTGCTATTGTCTCTACCGTTGTGTAGATTCAAAATTTTCATAAGGAAAATGCGACATGTAAACAAATATAACCAGCATGTGGAAGGCTTGATATTCAAACCACCTGCATGGATATCTAAAAAATATCTCACATTTCACACGTCCCAAGGAGGACTTGGTTCCCTTGCTTCCAACCTTCCTTTCCCCTGTGCACCTCAGTGAGGAAACATCAATATTCCTAGTGGTTCCACATAGGCCAAGAGTCCTGGAGTCTGCTCTAGGCTCCTCTTTCCTCCCTGATATATCCATCCCATCAACAAGTTCTCCAACTCTCACGACCCCTTCCACCTCTCGCCTCTGTTCTCATTCTAGGCAGTGACAAGAAGCTCCAAACTCTGCCCTGCTCCTAACTCTGCATTTGCATATGCTGTGACTCAGGTGACACCTCTTGTGAACCACCACCCCCCCCCGCCCCTAGCAGTGATCACCTGCATGGTCAGAACTCAGCCCTGTGGCCTCTGTGGCTGCAGGCCCAATGTCCTCCTGCTGCTTACTCATTAGCCTCTGTGGTCCTCTAAGGCAGGGAAGGAAAATCCAGCTCACCACATATTTCTATGCCACAGGCTAAGAATCATTTCTATATTTCCCAAGGGTTGTGAATACAACCCCCCCTCAAATATTTACTGTCTGCCCCAGGACACCAAACTCCTCTGACCCCAGGCCTTTGAACATGCTGTCTCCTTTGCCTGGAAATTTCGGATTCATCTCTCTGTGCCTCAGTTTCCTCATCCATAAGTGGTGATTATATTCATAATAATTACAAGTAGTAACATTTATTTAGTGCTGATAATGATTAACACTTACTAGTGCCTATCATGTGCCAGGCATTCCTCTGAGCACTTTAGACACAACTCATTCTAAACCTGCAACATTCTCATCCATGTCTCTCTAAAAGGTCCTACAAACCCTGAGCCCAGGTGTAGGGATCAGATGATGTGAGGCACAGGTGCTGAGCAGCTACCACCCAACCCTCCACATACACTGTCCTGGGCCCCCTTATCCAGCTAGGCCCTATGGGAGTTGGAAGAGGGGAGAAGGTCAGGATGCCCACTTGCTAGCCTCAGTTGCCTGGCACTGGGCCACTTCCGCCACCATCTGACTGATGTGGCAGGTGGAGGGTGCAGCTCGGTGGGCAACACAGCATGGGCAGGACAAATCCTGAAGTCACATTCAGCTGATTATGCAGTGAAAACTACGGCTTCATTTGATGTTTCCTGCCCCAACCTCCTCGTCTCTCCTTTACCTCAGCCCCTTCAGTATTTGGCTAGTACACCCAATCCCTCAGGAGCCGTGGAGTAAACACACATAAATGCCAATGGGGTACCTCTTCCTGCAGCGGAACTTCTGCACCGGGGTCAGCACAGCCACATCGAGTCTCCTCATGACCAGACGGTAATGGATGTCGTTCCAGAGCTGCACTAGCTCCTGGCTGCCTCCTGGTACTCGACAGCCCTGCCAAGAAGAGCCTGCTGAGCTCTGGTTATCTGCAAAAAACCTGGAACACGGTGGGGATCCGTGTCTGCCACCCCAAAGCAACCTGACCTCTGGGAAGGCAAAGATGTCTGTGGGAAGAGTAGGGGTCTGGGTTCAAATCTACTGATTTACTAAATGCCAGTGTGCCCAAGGAGCACAGATATGAGTCTGAAAGCCAGTGCTGCAACCTCCACCAAGATTAGCAGTGTGACCCTGGGCCAGATGGGTTAATTTACAGGCCATAGATAGACCCACTCATGCCAGATGTGAAGGGCCTCGGCCTTTAAAACCCTTCAAACCTCTCAAAGAACACACATCATGAGTACATCTCTCATATCACCTTGTGATTATGGAGTGCATGGCAAAGGGAAGTCCAATGATTCGATTTTGGCTGACAGCAAATGAGTGGTAGAGTGATGGTTAGACCCCCATGGTCTGACGCTTGGCCCATGCTTAAAGTAAAAGATTTTGGCATAAGATCACCACTCAATAGGGATTTGATAAACTCAGATGACTTAGCTAGTGAGAACTTAATAAAGTGGAAGTAGACCATCCTGACTAAGCTCCCCTGATGTGCTGGTGTGGGGGCCTCAGGCCAGCAGGTTCTTATGGATTCCCAGGCACTTCTGCTGCTGCCCACTCCACACCTGCCCCTGCCGCCTGGTCCTACCTCCAGAAGTTGGCAGGCTGCCTCCTGCTGGCCCTGCTGCTCCAGGACACGAGCACACATCAGGGCCACGTCTGCATTGTCTAGGAGGTACATTCGGAGCTGGCTGTCCAGAATGGCTGAGACCAAAGGCTGTGCCTGAGCAAGGTCATCCTGCAGGTCACGGCACAGCCTGCCTACAAGGGTCACCAGTTCTGCAGGTGGTGGACAGGTGACCCTGTGGTCCCTCAGCAGAGTCAGGAAGCTCTGCATCCTGCATCCAGTCAGAGCCGCTCTGCCAACAGAAAATAGTCATGACGAGGGCCAACATCCAGCATGTCCTTCCCACTGATCTCCAACAACTCCATGATACAGGTAATACCATGACCCTTATGCCAAGGACACTTGTAAGGTAGGAATAGTAAGAGCTTACCTGAGAAAAGGTAGAGTGGTATCACACATCCCATAGAATTTCCATCTGATTTCTCAAAGATAATTTAGCTCTTAATGAACTTGACTGTGTACCAAGCACTGAGCTGGGTGCTATCTACAGGTCCTCTCACTCCTCTGGACCTTCTGTCTGGTTCTCTGGTACTCTGTCCACAGGGCCCTTACCCTGCTCCTCTCATCTCTCCTTATGCTTCCTTTCCTTCACCCTCCTGATACAAGCTGTGATTATGTTTCCTCTCACTCCCCCTCTGGGCTCTGTGGGACAGGGACTTGTGTGTGCGGTTTGTCAGGGGTCACCATCTAACTGCATGTCCACACTCATTTTTAACAGCAAAGAGACTGCTTATGCCAATACTTAATCCAACTAGCATCACAGACATATTTTGTAGTCCTGCAAAGTATCCCATGAAAGGAGAGACCAGGACTTGTTTAAATAGGTGTCCACCTAAGGATGTCTAGGCTGCTTTTTCCAAACACAATGCCTTCGTTCACAATTGAACTCATTTCTGTAGAATGCTTCTGTAAGTGAAGGTTAAATGTAGTGCCATATGGACATCTACGTTTTCACTAGACGTTTCCAAACTGCTTTCCGAAAGGTTTGCCTAAGAATCTGCAGAACCGCAAAGAATTGGCCATTCTATGCGCTCCCTGGCGGCTGGAATGCCCTCAGTTTCCGGGTTTTTCTGCCTCGTGTCACCTCTGGGGTCTTCCTTGGCTCTCGGGCGCCCACCAGGGGAGTGATCTCATCTACACCTCCGCTTCCAGGGTTCTAGCGCCATCTCACCGGGTCCTAAACTGACTTGGGCTCTGCATTTCTAACTGCCAAGGTTGGCAGGAGTCCCTGGGCCCCAGATCCCACGATGGAACGGAGGCTTCAGGGCTTCCACGTTAGAGGGAAGGGGACGTCTCCTCTCAGGGCCGTGGGTTCTCTAGTACCGACCTGTGCTCCAGCTCGGGGAGGGGCGGGAAGAACGCCAGCGGCTGGTTAGCACCAGTTCAGAAAGGAAGCGGGTTCCGGTGGGGTACCTCGGTGTATCCCACCCTGTGCCCTGAGGGGACTCTGACGGACTGGGACAGAGGAGACCAGTCGGGGCAGGTGGCTGTGCGACAGCACCCCCCGCACCCATGGCCCCGCAGCCCCTACCTTTCTGGGCGCGCTGCTCCGGGAGGCACCGCTGTGGGCCCGCAGCCCCAGCAGCCCGCCTGGCGTCCGCTGGGCGCGCACGTGCTCGGCCGGGAGGCGCCGCAGGGCAGCGCGGAAGGCGCGGATGCTACAAAGTATCTGGGCTGCGACCAATCCCCGCGAGGCCCCGCCTGGCTACCCGGCCTTGAGGCGTTCGCCCCCGCGCGCCACAGACAGGGGAGGTCAGGAAAGTTCCACAAGGGTACCCGGTAAACTCCGTGCGATCTGGGGGTCTGTAGACCCCAGGGTCCCAAGGACCTGGAAGGTTCTGGGGGCTCCCAGCGTTCTGCGGCATCCGTGGCCCAGGGTCAGAGGCGCCCCCGGAGGCTTCCTCGGGCCTCAGGTCCCGGAAGGAGCTTGGAGGGGGCTCTGAGGTGGGGTGTGGAGAGGGAGGGGCGCCGCGAACCCCCGCCCTGCCTCAGGAGCCGGAGGAAGCAGAGACCCGAGGTTGACCCCACCCTGTCTGCCCTGTGCTCAGCGGAGCCACAGTCCGGCTGGTCGCAGTTGTCTGAGGCAGACACTTCATCTCCTAGGAGCTTTTCAAACCCGTACTGAGGAGACTGCTCCTGGGTCCCAGCAGAGTTCAGACATCACTGGCTGGGAGGGACTCACGTAGCTGGGCCCTGCAGGGCGGCCCCCTGAGGAAAGCTCAGAATGACTCAAACCCGGGTGACTGTGTGATTCTGGCCTGGGGAGAGCTCGGGCGGGGGTTGTCCTCCTGCCCTGGTCAAAAAGTGCTTGAGAAATCACCAAACTGCCACCATCCTGGCCTCTCTCCTTGCACTATGTCGCCCTGGGTAGAGTGCTGGCGGCTTCACAGCTCACAGCAACCTCCAACTCTTGGGTTTAAGTGATTCTCTTGCCTCAGCCTCCCAAGTAGCTGGGACTACGGGCGCCTCCCACAATGCCTGGCTATTTTTTTGGTTGTAGTTGTCATTGTTGTTTGGCAGGCCTGGGCTGGGTTCGATCCTGCCAGCTCCGGTGTATGTGGCTGGAGCCCTAGCCGCTGAGCTACAGGCGCCGAGCTGGTTTGTAATTGTCTTACACAGTAGGCGCCGAAGGTGTTCTTGAAGTGCAAGGGCAAGAAGAGTTTGTTTTTAAAGGGTGGTCCGAGTCTAATTGGAAAGACAAAATTCTCTGACATAGCTTATGCACGAGACTTGGGTAGAAATGATGAACATGTATTTCATTGTTCCAGTGAAAATCTGGAAACAATCCAAGTGTCTGGTTGAATATTTACTAAATAAATCATGATTCTGATAGAGGAGCTCCTGGAAGGTGTTTGTAGTTATCCTGGGGAAGAATGCTTACTGAAGGACTTGTGAACATGATACATTGTACAACAAAAATAGTGTGTTAAAAGACAGTTTGAGTGATATGAGCCCATTTGGAAGTAGAAATAAAATGACAAATGCTACACTGTTAAACCCTGATTGCCCCATGGGTGACAGAATTGTTTTAATACTTTTATTAGTCATTTTATTTTATTCCTTTTGCTTATCTATATTTCCTAGTTTTCATAAAATATAAATTTCAGGGTTTCTTTTTTAAAAAATTCTTTTCAAGAAGTAGAAAAAGAAAACAGGACAGCAGAGTTGGGGGAAGCAGTCCTGACTCCCCACATGTACTAGAGGCCTGAGCTTCCATGATGTGGGTGGACAGCAGGCTAGAAATTACAGGTTGCCTGCAGCAAACTCATTTGCAGTGAATCCTTTCCAGAAAAGCAGCCACAGAATCTTTCTCTGGGATACACAAGGTGTTGTGTCCTAGATAAGGAAGAGACTAGAACAGCATTCCTGATTGCTCTCCCCCTATTAGGCACCAAGGAATTTAAAAACTCAGGGGAACCTTAAATGTCAACATAACAAATTTTAATGACTTCAACAAATTTTTCATTTTTATGTATTTTTATTTTTTAGAGATGGGGTCTTGCTGTATTGTCTTGAACTCCTGGGTTCAAGTGATTCCCCCTACCTCAGCTTCCTGAGTAGCTTGACTGAATTCAACAAGTTTTATGATCCCAGTTCATTGTTATAAAATCAGTTACTTTTTTTTTTTTTTTGGATTTTATTGTCCCAAGCAAGAGGTAATTGATTATCAAACCTCTGATTTGCTGATGAGCAAATTTTAAAACACCTTCCAGAGTGGCTTATGTTAACTGTTAGACTTTTGTCTTAAATATGGAACTCTTCACAAATTTGTATGTCATCCTTGCATAGAGGCCATGCTTATCTTCTCTGCATCATTCCAATTTTTTCTTTTCTTTTTCTTTCTCTCTATTTTTTTTCTTTAGACAGAGTCACAGTTTGTCACCCTTGGTAGAGTGCCCTGGCATCTTGGCACACAACAACCTCAAACTCTTAGTCTCAAACATTCCTCTTGCCTCAGTCTCCCGAATAGCTGGGACTATAGGCACCTGGACACTACCTGGCTATTTTTAGACATAGGTTCTTGCTCTTGCTCAGGTTGGCCCCAAACTCCTGAACTCAAGAAATCCACTGCTTGGCCTCCCAGAGTGGTAGAATTACAGGCATGAACTACAGTGCCTAGCCTTATAACCCTCACTTTTAATGGAGGCTTGATCTTCTAACAGAAGGTAGTGCCAAAATGTAACTAACCAACGCTTGTTGGAGATAATGTTTGTCTCAACTTTCCACCATTTGTAGTGGGATATTAGATGACATTCTAAGGCACACTTAACCTCTGTTTCTAGAGGTTCTAATTCCTTCTGGACCAGTCTAGATGGGGCAAGCTCCCAGTTCAGTTGCTTAATAGCAGTGACCTTGGGTGAGTTACTGACTGCCCCTCTCTATTCTTCTCTCCTCTTTGGTAAAATGGGAATAATAATAGATCCCTTTTTTCCCATGCAATTGAGTAATTAAAGTACATACTCAGTAAATATCTATTTTAAATTGTCACTATTTTGTTTACCATGTATACTCTTTATTTTTAATACATTCAAAATCTGGGAGGTATTTCCTTTTTACTTTCTTTTTCTTTTTTTCTTTTTTTTTGAGACAGAGCCTTAAAGCTATCCCCCTGGGTAGAGTGCTGTGGCATTGGCATCACAGCTCACAGCAACCTCCAACTCCTGGGCTTAAGCGAGTCTCCTGCCTCAGCCTCCCAAGTAGCTGGGACCAGAGGCACCTGCCACAATGCCTGGCTATTTTTTGGTTGCAGCCGTCATTGTTGTTTTGGAGGGCCTGGGCTGGATTTGAACCCGCCCCCTTAGGTGTATGTGGCTGGTGCCTTAGCCACTTGAGCCACAGGCGCCGAGCCCTTTTTACTTTCATTGTTCAGAAACTTCTTGGCAATCCTTGTAGTTTTCACTGTCATAATTAACTGAACACATTTTTTTCACTCCTGATCCACAGAAAGCTGGAATACCATTGACATCAGCCTCCTAAGAGCCTCTGCTGAATCCTGAATCCACCTCTTTTAAGAAAGGAATTACTTTCATCACCAGGTACTCCCTTGCTCCATTTGCTCTGCCCCATAAAGCCTTCTGGTTGACCTCAGGGTCAGTACCTCTTGGGAGATTTGTCACATGTTTATCTGCATATTAGGGGGTCTCATCTCTTAGAGATGAGTCTTGTGGGTTTCATAGATGTGGATTCATAGAATACCATGGGAAACATGC